GTCTTTATTTTACAGTTAAAATAAATGTTTATCAAATGAAGTCTAATGTTACAACTAATCAGGGATCCCTTTAACAACAGATTAAAGAATTAGCATGTGTGTCCGCGAGCTTCTCAGAAAATTATGGTAATAATAAAATCTGTATTTATGGATATCATTTAACGGTCATAACTCAATCTAAACAAAAGCATCAAACTGGATTATTTTAATATCCTCTTTCACCATTTTCTTATTCTCTTTTATTATACTCACTCTGTCATTCTCTGATCTTACTGATGCTGCCGGTGCACTGAAACAGGAACAAACCATTTCATGTAACTTTGTTCTTGACAGGGGTTTGAATCTCAGAATCCTGAGCTTAAAGTCAGAGTTCTTATTATTGTTTCTGTGGCTCTAATCCTCTTAGTCCAGTCAGTCGAGGGCCTCCTGACTCCCCACAATCATTTATCAGAAGTAAAAGGAATAAACATGGGGCTAATTAAGCTACTTCCATTAATAAAAGCACATCAGAGGTAGGTTTAAAAACAAAAAGTATATACAAATCACAAAAAGTAGATTCAAAAATCTAAAAAAAAGGAGAGAAAATGCTCATAGATGAGAGAATAATTAAAAGTTCCTGTTGCTTTACTAAAAATATAAAATGAGAGTAACTAGGACTTGAGTAAAGAAAGTAATTTAAATCAATCCTTTTAATTAGAAGGAGGAGAGAGTGTTTGTGGAGGGATGTGGGCTGTACCCGCAGCTCTGTCGGTCCTTCAGCAGGTACACCTGGTGGTCCTGGGACTGCAGTTTGGAGGCACTTGTTATGGGTGCTGTGAGTTGTTGAGCCTGTGGATAAAGAGAGTGTTATGAAACAACTGCTCTATCACCTCGAAGCAATCACTGAACGTTCACCTGAAACTCAGTCACATCTGCACTTATCTGCAGCAGCCATGGTGTTGCATATGTACACACTTTCTGAGAGTTTTAATGAATTCTACAAGAATAAAGCACATAGAAACCTCATATTTTTACACAATCATCCACAGACTCAATAAACAGGTTTTATCAAGATGTTTTTTTTATTTATTGCCATTCAGTTTTACAGATCCTCTGTGAGGCAAGCTGGATTCTTGTGTTTTTTACTTTCACCTGACTGCTACCACTGCTGAGCAGAAGATTTGATCCTAAAATCATATCTATCATACAGCACAAATAAATTCACCCTCTCACCTTCGCTGAGGCAATCCCAAGTTCATCAATGACTGTGGCGATGTGAGACTGAAGGTCCGGGCTGCAGAGTTAAACACAGAAACACAGAGCACAATGAGAAGACTGAACAATAAAGTGAAAAGCATGAGTGCTTGTGTTGAACTTAGAAACATGTTGTAAATGTTCTTTTTAGAATCTGAATAAAGTTAAAATGTGTTGCCATGTTCTTTATAT